CGCCCGGGGGGGGGGGGGGGCAGGTGGCTGGGGAAGGGAAAGCGGGAGAAAATGGTGCACCCTAGGGTGCGGCCACCAGGTGGACACCGCCTGCCGGGGTGGAGGTGGGGTGGCAAGGACCCCTCAGGTCTCACAGCCTCCCCCTCCCCCTCTACGTCGGGGGGGGGACCCCCAGCGCCCACCCTCACCAGCCCCCAGCGCTGACGACCCTTCCCGAACCTCACAGGGCTCCCCCGCACGGCGATCCCAAGGTCACGGCTGCAGGTTGATCGCCACCGCCCAGGAGACTCGCCCCCGCCGCGGCAGCCCCGTAAACAAGCGCTACCGCGGTGCCCCCACCCCACCCAGGGCCGCCCGGGGGTCTGACCCCGGTGCTGGGTCCGGAGTCCCTGGGCGGGCAGCCGATCTCCTCGGGGAGCAGCGCAGCCTCGCCAGGCGCCGGGCCGACCAGTCTCTGCCCCTGGGACTGGTCCCCGGGGAAGGGACCCTCTGCGGAAAGCTGGGGGCGGGGGTGGGGACCCGGAGGCCCAGCGTCCTTACCCGGAGCCGAGGTCTCAGCCAGAGGGACTGGCGGCGCCGGCGCCGGCGGTTTTATCTCTCCAGGAGGGGGGTCCACCTATTGACGGAGCAGGCGCAGTGCACTGCACCCCTGCAGTACGGCAATGCGGCACCGGCGCGGGCGGGGCCGGGGGCGGGGATGCGAGGGATGCAGGGATGCAGGGACAGCGGGCCCGCGGGCGCACGCGAGCGCGACAGAGACGCGAGAGGAGCATGTGGCGAGGGAGGGAGCTACAAAGGCGGAGACGAGACGCACCCGGAGGGAGCGCGGGCGGGGAGAGCAACACAGGCGGGGGCGGCGAGAGCCGGATGCGGAGAGGGAGCCGAAAGGAGATGGAGAGAGGCCCGGAGAGAAACAGCTAGCGGCAGAGGGCAGATACCGCGAGGCTGAAACGCCAGGCTCGGGCACGCGAGGGGAGAGCAGCGCCCGCGCCGAGCACAAAAAGACATTTGGATCAAAAAGGAGGTCCCAGGGAAGGGCCAGTCCGCGAGGATGGGGCCGGTGGGGGCAGGGGAGGAGCAGGTCAGGCCTGGGGGGTGGCTGAGGTCGGTGACTGGGCGGCCGGCACCTGATTGACATGGTGCTGTGTTCTGAGGTCTCTCTCCAGGGTGGCCCAGGGGGTGCAGGCCCCCTGGCGGGACCCCAGAATCTGCTTGTTTCCAAGCCCCCTGCCCCCCATGTGCCTGCCACACAGGTTTGCTCCAGCAGGCTCCCAAAGCCAGGCTTCTGCACCCCGGGCCCGGTGGTGTGGCACGGAAACTCCAGCGTCCCCTCAGTTCGGCCAAGTGGCCTGAGGCTCCATCAGCAGATCCAGTCAGCTCACCCTCCCTCCGAAGCCCTGGAAAGAACTGTTTTCCACCCTGGGCCCCTTTTAGTACAGGGAACACTTGAAGTCCACCCCGAGAGCCCACTGAAATCTTTGAGGGCTGCCCTGGTCTGCACACATGGGCTGGGTTCCCAGGGACGCAGAGTTTGCCAAGGAAAGAAATCAGCTCCCAGAAAGAGTCCCAGGCTGTGGCCCTGAGGCCTCCCCTCTATCTGTAGGAAGTGGGATGTCCCTGAGGATCCTGGGCAGACCAGGGCAATGACCAAAATGGGTTTCCGGGGGTGGGGGGGATGGGTTAGTGAAGACCAGGGTCATGGCCTCTTCCGGGACCTCCGACCTTGTCAGCTCACCCATTGCCGCATCTCCCCGTGGCCGTGTCTCCATCTGCCTCAGAGCCCGAGGACACTCAGGTTAGGGTCAGGGTGTTGGAGAAGGTGGGGCAGGGTCTCAAAAAATGTGTTGGGGGAGCAGAGGCCCAGGGATCAGCACCTCCTGATGGGGCAGTGCCCACGGGGAGCCCCCAGAGGTGGGACCCCCAGCAGGTAAGGAAGTAAAAATGGGCCGGGGCAGTGGTTTGGCGCCAAGCAGGTCTCCCTGCCCCGTGGGGAGGGTCTCTCCGGGAGGGGAGGGGCCCTCCTGCCGGGCTGTCCCTGTGTCCGCCCACAGACCGGGTGAGAGGGGCTGGCAAGTGACCCGGCACTTCCTCGTCTGCTGATGCCATCAAACAGGAGCCAGGAATTAAAAATAAACGCCTGTGTGGAAAGCACGGCCCCCCCCCCACCCGCCCTGCCCAGCTGGCCTCTGTGTTTAATGCGTCCCCTTCTGCCGAAGCTTAGGCAGGATCTGGGAGATGCCGTGACTGATGGAGGCTGGGATGGGACGGACCGAGGGGGCAGGAGGCCCGGGTCCCTGTGGACGCCACCCCAACTTCCCCCAGGGATCTCCAGCTGCCTGAAGCCTCAGGGGGTGTTTATCAGACGCCCGCACAGGCCTGAGGCTCGCCTCTCTGCTCTGGGCTCACCTGCTGCTGTCACCTGGCAGGAACCAAACGGCACTGGGCTGCCTGCCCCAGGGGCTGGGAGGCTGTGCTCCCCAGAGCAATGGCCGCTGCTAGTGGAAGGCAGCGTCACCCCCACTAGGACCTGCTCGCTGACCTGGGGCAGGGGTCTCCACTGGTTCCCCCAAGAGGCCTCCGTGTCCCCAGGACATGCCATCTGTCCTCAGCCGGACCACCTGCAGGGCCCTGGGAGCCCGGGCAACATGGCGTCTGGAGACACTGGGCTCACAGTGGAGACGCGGAGGGAGGTATGGTGCTACAAAACCCCGACCAGCAGCACAGGGCTGCACCACCGCGTGGTCCAGCTAACTGGTGAACAGCTGCTAACCACCGCGTGGTCCAGCTAACTGGTGAACACCTGCTAACCACCGCGTGGTCCAGCTAACTGGTGAACACCTGCTAACTACTGAATAGTGTTTAATGACTACTACCAACTACTGATTCGTATGTAATAACCACTGAATAGTACTAAATAACTACTAATCACTGACTAGTACTGAATAACTATGAAATACTAAGCAATACTAAGCACTATGTGATGCACTAAACAGCCACAGTCACCAAGCCTTGCATGGTGGGGCTCCCAGGCAGCCTGAGGACCCATGGACCAAGAGCCAGCTGGGCACAGAGAAGCAAGCACAGTGCCCAAGGTCACACAGCAAGGAGGGCAGCGCTTGCGGAAGGCTTGGAAGGCCTGAGCCGGGGCAGTGGTGCTTCTGGACAAGCCCGCCCAGGTCCCAGCTGTGCTCTTCCCCTCTCCCAGGTCAGGCTCCGCCCCTGTAGCCCTTTTCCCACACCTGAGCCACTGGTTACAGTGGCCCCCGTAGCTGCCAAGGGTATGGGTGGGGGGACGAGCAAAGAAGGGGCTCCTGCTAATGAGGCTGGTACAGCCTCCCAGGGCACTTTCTGGGCAGGGGTACAGGCCCTGCCTTCTCAGCCCCTCCAGTAGCTCCCAGGCCCAGCCGCGGGCGGTTTGGGGCAGGCGCCACAGACAAGCCCCCCCCCTGGCGGGCAGGGATTTTCACAGCCTGGGGGTAGAAGGCTACCAAGCTGTCAGCCCTGGAAATACACCTGCCTCCCATTGGCTGCGGGTGATGTCACTGCCGGGCTAATGGTAACCTGCGGATGCAGAGCTTTCCCCCTGTGTGTGCCTTCCTGGGGAGCCACGGCCCCAGCAGGTAGGGGCCAGCACCCCGGGTGATGGTCACAGGGGCCCAGACAGCGGCCTGAGGGGGGGGGGCGGGCGGAGGGGAGGGCTGCGGGGTGTCTCAGAATGACGTCAACCCCTGGCCTTGGGCCACGGGCTGCCCTCTGTCCCTTGGGCATCGGTGTGCATCCTTACATGTGGGGTCAGTCGCACCTGTCTCCCAGCCTACCTGGGCAGCAGGCCCCTGGACGGCCTCAGGGACACGTTCCCCTGCCCCCAGCTCTCCAGGCTGGGCACCCAGGGGACTGAGCTGCCCTTGAGGCCGCAAATTAAGTGGTCTCCATGGTGAAGAGGGGCTCTTGGCTACCAGATCCCCTCAGAAGAGCAAGGTCACGGCCCCTAATCAGAGAA